ATTCGCACGGGGTTAGCCCCGGAAGCCAAAGCAATCCCAAAGGTCCGCCATCCTTCTTCCGACAGGTGTAAGGATCCCGTCACATGTACACGCCCTGGGAGGTTTAAGTCTACGCCCCCGAACTCCCCTCTCGCACGCCATTCCAACTCCACTACTAGGTACACCGTATCTTCCACCAACTATACCCCCACCCAGTCCATTACTGGATTGCCTATCGTATTTCTTGCCGGTAGGCTTATTTCGACCCTGCCTTCTGATATTCTTGGTGGCAGGATCCCACGAGGTCTATCCTCCCAGAACGTCATTCCCCGGGCCATCTCGCAATGTCTCATTTCCTGCTTTCTTAGTCCGATTGCTGCACCCACCGAGATTCCATGCCTTTTCTGTTTTAGTCTTTCAACCCTCCCTACTTATCGTACACTGGTTCTTGCCGCTATCCCCAACTCATACACGTTCAATTCTACCCCCCCCCCCATTTTCCAGTTGCTGCCACTTCCCCCTTGTTTCGATCCTTATGCACCATCTACGGCCTAGTGTACACACTACCTTTTTTATGTTACACCTCAATTCACAAACACCTTCCATACTCAGGCTTTTTTCGCGGTGTTCGATCCCTTGGCCTCATTCAGTCGAACCACAATACCTCAAATAGTTTAAAGACATCATCTACGTAGGAGGGCGCGGCTGCCGTCTCCCGGCTAGCTATGGCGTCCCAAGACTCCGCCTCTACCTCTAGGCGGTCATACCTGCCCATTCTTAGGACGATGATGACTTCCTCGGCTTTATCTCCGTAGAAGGGTCCATATTTCAATGAGAGCCTATAGAACTGCTCAGTCAGCCAGGCACACTCTATATGCATCTTTCTCATGGAGTCAGCTACTTCTAAAATGTGCTCAAACCCCCCAAACCACTCGGCTATGAATTCCGGTACCCAAGTCGTTATCCGTAGACTTGGAGGCTTAAGTTCCTTTCATCCTCCCATCACAACTCTGCTACTAACTTCGTCCCATCCCTCATTGGCTAACAACTTGCCTTCCTTTCGAGTTCGGGCCTCTGCATCCCCTAGAAGCCACATCAGGTCCTGTCCCATTGCTAACATTGTGCAAAACAGATGCCATCCATCCTCGGAAAGGACAATCGTTCCAACTGACTCTACCTTGCCTTCTGCTATATCATCCCAACCTTCCGCTTCCCTTATCGGGTTCCAAATCCGCTCTATACATACATATGACAAGTCTCGGGCAACCTCAAACCCAATCTAGTCGCACGTGGTCCCTCTCCATCCGTTCCTTGGTATAAACATTTATATTCCTCCTCTGAGTCGCTGTGGTTCCCATCCTTTGAAGGTGTATTCCATCATCCTTTCTTCTCTAGTCATCTTTCCCTTTCCTGCACAATACCAGGTCACTCGTCCTTCCAAAGTTAAGTTTCCCCACCTCTCTTAAAAGTCCCAGTCCTCTATCTCTTCATCTTCGTCTTCATCACTGAAATCATTCTCCTCGTCATATCCCGACTCCCTTACCCCATCCAGAAACGTCTCCCCAATTGCCACATTCTTGTAGACTATCCCCCAATGCACAGCGCTAGGGACAAAGATATTGTCTATGCTAAGGCAGTTTAGTATCTCGGTCAGCTCCTCCGTCCAGTTCCCCTCGAGCGGCCCCATCTCTACTGATAACCGAAAAAAATCTTACCTAGCGCATTGGTATAGCCCGAGGTTCGTCATGAACTGGCATATTCGCACTAGCCTGCTCCGAGTTCCGAAAACTGCATCCACTAGGAAGGGGGGCAGCACACATCGCATGGTTCTTACGTGTCGCCTCATGCTTCCTCTATCCCCAAGTTCCACCCGAACGTCTACCTTTTCCATTTCCATTTCCCTCCATTGACATGCAGCCCACACAACCTCTGCTTCTGCCTTCCTAAACAACTTGTCTGGTGTATTTCCGAGTGCCAACTCTATGATCACAGCTTTCTCCCCATCTTGCGACAAGTAGACCCACCCCCGGGCTTCCACTGTCCCTCGGAATTCCAAATCCATCAAACTTGGCGACAACCTCGTCAAGTTGACATTAGTCCATACTGTTTCTATCCAAAGAAAACATCTTTTCCTTCCAGCATTACCGTTTGATATGCCGGTTCAAGGTCCATCCACGTTCCATTTTCCGGGAGGACGACTGATACTCCTTCCTTTACATCTACTGGCATTTCCGGGCCGCCAGTATAGATCGGGGAAGGGAACCATCGCGCCATCTTGTTTTCAGCACCCGACCCCTGTTTTCATAAAAAGAGCATCAACCGGTCCTTTTGGTCAGGTCAACCCTTGCCCTAGATGAGAATTATTTCAGACCCCTCATCAAGGTCTTCCTATTTTACCTCCCTATTCCTAAGTACCTCCTTCCCATAATTCCCTCGGCCGGCCATCCATTTACCCACATTCTTTCTCTTGGTTTCATTCCAA